TGTGATTCCGGACACTCTTTCAAGAACAGTTCCGCGTCATCTTCTTCGGGAGGAAGGAGCTGGTTTGGTGAACCCTGTGGACAATGAACGAACGAGATTCATGTTGAATAAAGTAGATCTTTTCTTCTTTATAGAAATCTCGCCAATTATTGAATAAGGGAGAGAGAGAGATACCGAGATTTTCAACTCTCGTAGATTAGGAGAGTGAGTGATTAGACGAAGAACAACGAGTACTTCACATGCATCTTCAAAGCTAACTTGGTAAAGTTCTATTGTCTTCAGATACATGTAAGTAACTGGAAGCCTTCCAGGGTCATCGCCTATGCTCAAGTACTGAACAAAAGGGCAAAAGAGAGATGAAACTGAAAATTAGCTGCTGCTTGATAAATGAGCTTTCGGAACAAAATCTTGAAAAGGCATTAAAGATTGGGTTATACCTTGGTGAAGTAAATATAGCTGACGAGCTTCTCGAGAAGGGTCACACCCCCAAGGAACTTAACAAGATTGGAGGCTGAACTTTGTTCAAAATGCTCAGCAGAATCCTCATTCATATACATTGAAACCGATATCGATACAAGCTTAGGGGTGTTCTCAAGGAAAATGTCCTTGAATTCACCATCTAGATACAAGTACTTCAGATTGGGAGCTGATATACTTAGAACTAAACTGTCAAAGTACGACAATGACAAGAACTCGAGAAGAGGACAGCCCGAGATAAGACTTTCGATCACTTCAGGGGGGACAAGAACTTGATGGAGGCTAAGACTCCTCAAACAAGAAAAACCTCTGAAGCTCTGAGGTGGGTCGAGCTCGCAATGGCACAACTCCAAACGGGTTAGTTTCCCACAACGAAGAGACAGGAAGGAACCCTAAACCACTCACCTTCCCCTAACTCAAGAACAAGCTCCTTGACATCATTCCTAGAAAGAAAGAGCAGCCACTGGTCAATGTCTTGGCGGCATTGCAGGAAATGAGCGGAGAGCTGGAACTTGTGGATGGGTCCTCGGTGAAGAAGAAGGGCCCCTGTTATGAATTTGACGAGGTTGTTCTCCAAGAGGCCACGCTCATTGGCAGGAGTGATGCATTTCTCATCAAATACAAGGTGAGTAAGGGTAGACCACTTATACCTCCATTTGCTGGATAAGGCACTCGTCCTTATCGCGTCTCTGATGGGAAGCCGAGCAAGGATGCTCTCGATCACGCTCTGAGGCAGATCGCTTATAAGATCCACGGATGAATGCTCGCCCATCCGCTGAAAACGGATGAGAAGTCGATACTCATCATAAATAAGAACAGCAGCATATACATATCCATCCCAGCTCGACAAGCAAATTCAGTTCCTAGTAAGAATCAATCGTTTTCTGTAAACCCAGAAAAAAAAACCCTAATCAAACGTCTGAAAATCCCGTCGAAACTTTGGACAGAAACCACGAAAACACCGATCAAGATCTAACCTTGATCAAGGGGACAGACATACACAGATGAATCTGCAGAACCCTAAACAAAAATTAAGAAAAGCGGAGAAACCACGACGGAAGGAACGATCAATGATCAGGCCCAGAAAGGAAAAATCTCACCTTTTTCAAGCCGTAGAATCAATCGAAACAACACAATCTTCCCTGAGCGATTATGGGTTTTCAGCGATCTGGGGGGTACTCGGAGACGTTCACTGGCCGAGACGACTGAAAAAAGGACAAGGATTTCAAAGAGTGTGTAGATTTCTCATAACCGGGTTCATCCAATACCGAAGAACCCAACCTGATTGCAGGACGATTTGATCAAATTGCCGAGATGATCGAATGCGATTCTCTCACATGGGCTCCAAGAACTCAATTAGATCTTCCTGAAAAGACTTTTGCCCCCATTCAATTCTGTGTCTAGAGTTTGGTTTATCGCAACTGTAAGAGACGAAACCGTAGCACCAAATGATTTCAGAAAAGACTCCGACATGAGTTCTGATTCCGATTCGATTCGTTATGATGTTTGGTCGTCCTTCCCTGAGTTTCTTCGCATTTAAATTAATTAGTTTACAAATTTTCAAAATACAACAAACATATATGGATACATTTACAATTCACGTTAAAATTACTGTGCACGACGATCGAAATCATTTCTTTAAGTAATCGTTTTCCAGTATAGAAAATTGGGACAAATCTGCATGTGTTGTGTTTATACATATGTTCCATGTGGTCGAACAATTATCAGAATATAGAATATTTACCCAGCTCCGTGTTTGGGTATAATTCCAGAAAATGGCAAAAACAAAGAATATTACCAAATTTTTTTTCTGTTGTACGCCATGAAAATTCTCATGATGATGATGATGATGGTGATGGTGATGATGCGAACAGAAACTACAAATTAAAACATGACATAAATTAACCTATGATTTTATCTTTTAATCATGCATTTCTTTTTTTCAAACTATATATCTAACCATAGTTGGCAGAAATAAAATAAAGAGATCACAGGAACATGCTCACCAAAGAAGTTAATTATTTAATTTTAAACGCATAATACATTAATGAACTATATATATATATATAATATATCTGTGTAATATATCAACATCATACAAGCAATACATAAAAGATCGATCGACCTTTGGAACGGATAAGAAGACAACCAAAATCCATCTCCCTCTCTCTCTAAATCGAAAGTTTGATTGAAGGGTCAAAATCTTCGAGCTCTCTGAAAAAACTGAGACACGTGCTGTCGTTATTGTCGGTTCGCATTTCAGTGATAAGTTGTCGGAGATCGGAGGCTTCCTCCTTGAGCCTCGAGTTCTCTTTCAAGACGCGGTCGTGGCTATCTGATACGCGGATCAGCTTATCGATGAGGCAGCGGTTCTGGTCGCGAAGCCCTATCACTTGAGACCAAAGCTCATCGAGATGTTTCTGCTTTCTCATCCTCGATCTTCGGGCAGATTCCCTGTTCGAGATCATCCTCCTTTGTTTCCTCTCGTCGATGATGATGCTCTGCTGGTGATCTTCGTCGGATGTTGAGTTGTTGCTTAGGCTCCAAGGCACGAGTTCTTGACCGTTGGATGAGGCGTTGACCATGAGATTAGAAGATGATGATGATGGTGAGGGCCGCATGATGGTTTGGATCACGTTGAACTCCGCCGCCGGGAATGCTATCGCATTTTCCGGTGATACATATTGTAACAGTCCGGTGAATTCCGCCGGAATCATGATCGTTAACCGACTCTTACTGATATATACAGGAGAGAGAGAGAGAGAGAGAGAGAGAGAGAGAGAGAGAGAGAGAGAGAGAGAGAGAAGCTATGATGATTCTTGGGTTACTAGAGAGACTTTTTTATTTTCGAGTGAAGAATAAGTTGAATTAATGGAGGATGAGGGGCATAGGGATTTTATAGAGTTTAGGAGAGAGAGGGAATGATGAAAAAAAGTCGGTCCATAAATAAAATGTGCATAAAGCATATGAGAAGAGAAGAGAATCCAATATACATAAATTATACATCCGTTTGTTTTGTCGTTTTATGTACCTCTACATATATTTATATATATATATATATATATATTGACTTAACGATAATAGTTATTTATATTATAGAATTAACAAAGAAGTCATTTCGATTTTGCACCTGTATGTATTTTCTAATTCATAGCTTTATCACATTATATATTTTGTTTTCTGCAACAAATAGTGGAATAATCACATCGATCAGCTTCTTAATTTGTTAGGCGATTCTCCACATAATTAGGTTTCGTATAGTTATTTTAATTAAAAATGGATTGGATAAGCTCGAGCCACAAGTACGTACCCGACAAAAGATCCCTTGATCCACAATAATTAACTAAAACCAGATTCGTATTAAAATAACCTTCCTTTTTATAAGTTTAGTTCTCGGGGTGTCAATATGTTCTTTCTTACTATCCTTTTTAATAAATTATATATAATTTAATTGTTATAATACAAAACGCCCGACGTCCAATATTATAACGCAATGTAATGGTTTATATGTCGATGATAAATGATAGTACCAAAAATATCGTTAAGAACATTAATTATAACCTTTTTATGCTGATTAAATGATGAACTTATCGCTCTTTATTAAATTTGTAACCCATCTTGAAGACATTGATTTGAATAATCATTGACATTACATCATACGATCCGACCACTATATCCAAAACGACAATACACACACACAAACACACACACACACACACACATATATATATATATATATATATATATATATATATATATACGATATGACATGAGGAGCTTGGATTCACAATCACGCATACCCAAACGGCAGCGTATCTACATTATTATTTGCATCGTATTCTTGGTTTTTGCAAACAAATTAAGGCACTTGTCCACCCACTAATTGTGGCTTAATCTAATCTTATTACATTAATTGATTGATAATTACATAACATGTAGTTTTGATATCTTTAATCTTACTAATGTATAAATGTTAAAAACGTGATCAAGAGAAAGATCCTCCAAATCCTTTTCTTTGTGGCACCGAATATTATATATTATATTATATTATTTTTATTGCCTTTGTATTTAATATATTCCATGTCGACCAACAGAGCGAAATGGTGAGGTCCATTCACAAGGAAAGCCAACCAGAAAACGACATGAAATGCACAAATTAATAAAAATGACTTTTTTTTAAATTAAATTGTAATGTTAAAAATCATTGGCACCCTTTGGACCGAGCTGCTCGATTCGAAATGCATGCATGTCGTCAGCAACATCAACTTCAAAAATCATACACGAACCGTTAGGCATATCAACCGAAATATTTTTATACAATTACTATGTGGATCGTTGAATTTATTGCGCATTTAGGTGCATCTGTCGGTTATAATTAATTTTCCAATTAGTATATAATGGGTTTGAAATTGAAACAATCACACCCTTTCCATGACACTAAAGAGTACGAATACCTAGATTTATTTTTGTATGTATTGTTTCTGAGAAAATAAGGGAATATATATATATATATATATATATATATATATATATATATTTCTGGATCATTTGGACAGAAAATAAATGAAAATACAAAATCACGTTAATTTCTTCCCAACCAATGAAAATATTTTCTTGGGAAGATTATCTCAAATGTTATACGTATTTCTTCGCCGATTTTTAACCATACACTCATGTTTTTTTTTTGTTAACGAACACTCATGTTTTAAGTCTTGGTCTACTATTTTTTGTTTATTTTTATGGTATTAGATTTTTTTATATTTTTAAGAATTTTCTTAAAATAGATTTGCAATATTATATATATATATATATATATATATCCAAGAAATATTAATTTATAAAAGACTGAAAATGGGTTTATAAAGTATTTTTATTTGGAGTATGAAACAAGGATCAATCGGTGTGTCTTCGTTTCAATACCAGGACAAAGTATATGTTCACATCTTGTTTGTACAAATATGAGCACATATATATTTATAATTGATTTTATAATCTAGAATTTGTCTGTATAATTGAACCACTTTTAAAAAAATGTGAAATAATTATGGAGATTTTGCTTTTTAACCCATGGTTGGCCCGTCCTTGTGTGGTTATAAATGACGATACTATAGGCAGACAGGTTAAAAGGTGATGCCTTTGTTCCCAAAATAAATAATTAAATAAAATAAATTCACCTCTAAATTATAGAGAATTTTGGTTGAAATTCCGTTCCAAATATTATCCAGTATTTAGAATCTTTAAGTTTGCCATTGAATATATATTGTATCGAAATAAATATATGTATATATATGTATTGGAATTTCATCTATCAAGATAACTCATAAGATATCGTTTTCATATTTATAAAAAAAAATCATATATTTTCCAAGGACATGTAATTACTTATGGCTGCCTAATAAATATTATTGCATAACATCAAGACAAAACTGTTATAGGGACCATGACCACAAATATTAAATGAGATATCAAATCTAATTTGAAGTTTTATTAGACGTAACGGTACGGACATAGTAGTATCAAATTCTATTAGCCAATCGCGGTCGTGCTCTTGTTCAATTGGTCCTCGTGTATCTTCTCGTGATATAGTTAGTGGCCACTCGTAATTCAAGAGTCCCTTTCTTTGTCCGAATATTTTATTTTGCTAAGTGGTAGGTATATATGCTAACGTATAAAATCTTTAATTCTTCAATGTGACAATATTAAAAATAGTTTAAAATGAAGGAGACAAATTTCAATTAAGTAATTATTAAGTTTTTTTTTCTTCAAAATGATAGATACACGTTTATTATGTTGTGGTTAAAGTTTAGTTTTAATTGATTATTGTATTATTTTATTATGCTTTGTAAAAATTATCTAATTATATATTTATGCTTATAGTTAAATATTTTTTTATAAATTAAATTTGACCCTTTTAATATGTTTGACATGTGTATCTCATAAAACAACTATTGTTTGGCTCTTAAAATTAAACAATAATATTTTTTTTTGATATATAACAATGTTTACTGTTTAGAAAAGCAATAAATATAAATGTAAGATATTTTAATGTGAGATTTATAAAGTTTGAGTATTAAACTACGAATTGGAATTATGGAAAATCATTTCAATCAAATGAAACAAATTCTAGGAAAGATACAAGTGATATTACAAAATCTTTTGCATAATGTAAGGGATTGACCCAAAAAGAAAAATGATACGAATCTGTCTTCATAATTGATTTTCAACGTAATCAATGCAAATATATTCTCTTTCAAATACTGCTGCTGCTGCTGCTGCTGCTCTGAAAACGGATGAGAAGTCGATACTCATCATAAATAAGAACAGCAGCATATACATATCCATCCCAGCTCGACAAGCAAATTCAGTTCCTAGTAAGAATCAATCGTTTTCTGTAAACCCAGAAAAAAAAACCCTAATCAAACGTCTGAAAATCCCGTCGAAACTTTGGACAGAAACCACGAAAACACCGATCAAGATCTAACCTCGGGGTAATGGCAAAAAAAAAACATGAACTTTTGTGTATTTGTCAAATAAATATACAAACTTTTATTTTGGTAATAAAATATACAAACTTTTGGAATAATGACAAAAAAAACATTAACTTTTTTTATTTGTCAAATAAATATACAAACTTTTATTTTGGTAATAAAATACACAAACTTTTATATTTTTAGCGCAAACCTCTACGAACAATAACGACGTCAAAAAAATAACGGAACCATCAACACGTCATCTATATTTGTGAATATCCGTATCCGATATAAAAATTATAAAATTTTAAATTAAAATTAAAAAACAATTTTAAATATAAATAAATTATATAGGTCATTTATATTCAAATTTTAAAATTTAAATATTTAAAATCAATATAAATATAAATATAATCATAATCTATCATATACGCTAAAACGGAAACGCACTTTTCCAGATCGCAACGCAATTGCTGTCCATAACGTTTTCCCTCTTTGTGTCCTCCGCCTTAATTTGTACAATGATACAATTAATAGTTACCTCGATTATTACTTTAATTAGTAATAAATAATTGATTTTCTAATACATTTTGATCTATAGTTTCATGTTCATTTTTCCAAGGAAATAAATCAAAGTTTTGATTCTGTCGAGATCCAACATGCATCAATATTTTAATTTATTTCATTTATTCCTAACACGAAAGATCCTATCCGATATTTTCCCTATTCCTCACTCCACATTCAATGTAAATCGACACATATAGCCTATGTTCCTTCTTATAAGCTTAACACTCATATGGATAAGAGATCTATGAGGATTCATTATATAAAAAATATGTCAAATTTGTCTGTTTTAACCAATAAACGTATGTGTGTAAACAAAATCTATTTCATTGATCATTGATGCAAACAAAAATCCATTACGTCATAGATTCATTATATTATCCAATTTCCTTTTAAGAATTAGTCGAAATTCCAAATGCATGAACTAGGGATGTAAAATGAACTCGGCTCGCGGATTGGCTCGTGAACCTGCCCATATTTTTCCGAGCCGAACTCAAGTATTTTGAGTCCATAAAAAACAGACCACACGAGTCATTAATTTTTTTTTAAATTTTAATATTTTTATATACTTTTATATATACAAATTTTATTTTTATTACATATTTAGTCTATTATGTTTAAAATTTTAGTTTTTTATTATATTTTAGATATTTCAAAAAAATATTTTATATATTAAAATTATTTTAAAATATTTTTTAGTATTAAAATTTTATTTTTAAAATTTATATATTTGGTTCACGGGTCCGGCTCGTTTGGCTCGCGAGTTAAGACTATTTGGACTGGACTGACCTATTTTTGGCTCGCTAAAATAGGAGTTGGACTGGACTGGACTGAAAATTTTTCAGATCGGGACAATCCGGACTGGGCTGGACCGGACCAGCCCGTTTTACACCCCTAGCATGAACCCTGTTTGATAATCGAATACTTAATCAATCCACTTGAAGATTTCGAACTGGCAAGTTTATGTTTAACACAGATAAACATATGGGATAATCAGAATATGTCCGAGAACGGTCCTTACAATATGATATGAATGCAATATATATATATATATAGCTTGAATCCATCACAAAAAAAGTTCATTCTGATGACTACTTTCTGTTCGTACAATCAACTAAGTAAATGAACAAAAAAAAAAGATGAGACATTCATCGAGGGGTTTTAACCCTAATAACCCACTTGGGTCGCAGCAATTTCAGTGTACACCACCCAGGAAAAAAAAATTTCAATTTTAACCCACTTTTCGATTGAAAAAGTCTAAAATACCCTTTTCGTTTTATTTTTTGCGACCTTTTTGCGACTAACATATAACTGATATACAACTAAAATAAGACGGATAATTTTTTTTGCCACCTTTTTGTAACTATATTTAGAATTAATTACGAAGTCGTAATAACGAAGTTGTTTTCGAACGGATAAATATCGTGATTCATTAAGGGTAATTTCGTCTTTTTACGGAGAAAAAAAATGTGTTATGTTTTTGGTGGTGTACAGGTGAAATAGATGCGATCCAAGTGGATCATTTGAGTGATTTTCCCATTCATCGATCGAGAGAGAATTAATCAATTAAATTAGGCCCATTTAGCCATCAAAGACATCCCTCCTGCCCCTAGAAGGACAGCAACGTAAGAAAGAGTTTGAAGCTTCATGTTCCCTTGGAGTTTCGGTCCCATGAACTCTGCGGCCAGAAGATCGACGAGGGCCATGTAGTTCAACAGGCCGGCCGAACACGCGTTCAAGACCCCGACCACTATCAATGCTGTCGGGCTTGTCTCGCTGTATACCTTCGATAGTCCGATCCCCAGCACGATCCCTAACGGTGTCGTCACCGAGAAGAAGAACACCATTATGTATTTCATCTTGGATCCGTATTCCGCCTGACAAACCGGAAAAAACTGGTTAGAATTCGTTATAGATTTCTCGGATATTTCATCAAAAACATCATTGGCTTAGATGTTATTCACATACATAGATGTTTCTCGATCATGTGTTTCGGATATATACAATTAGATGTTTTCACATAGCTGGACCAAAATATATACATGTATATATATATATATATATTAATAAGAATCATATGTATGGAAATGAACCTGAAGAATGCAACCGCCCAGTCCCATGCCTTCGAAGAGCTGATGGAAGCAAATCGCGGCGACAAGGGAACGTATGGTGCAGTGATTTTCCGAAGCTCCCATTGCCAGCCCGATCACGACCGAATGCACTACGATCCCCAGCTCCAGCACCTGCACCGTTTCATAACATTCCTCTATCATGAAAATGATATGTATACACACACACTCATATATATGCGCATATGTATATATACACATGTACCTGAGCAATGACTCTATGCCTCAACAGCCGAGAGTGTTCGTCCTTGGAGACGTTTGTCCAATCCGATTTCTCCACGTCGTTTTGGGATATAGACGAATTCCTCTTCCTGTGCGCACTCATGGCGTAAGAGTCAATCATCATCGTGAGCAAGGCGGAAAGCATAGCCACGAAGGTGGTGAAAGGGAACTTCTTCCATGGATCTTCGGGGAGACAGTCCGAATTCAGATCGGAGAATGAGTCCGGCAACACGTGCATGTAACCCGTCGCCAAGATAACGCCCGAGGCCAAGGCTTTAACGATCACGAAAAGATCTCTGTCGGGTTTTAACGCGGGAACGGACCGAGAGAACAGCGGCAGGCATACACCCACCAGGCTGGCGGCCAGGATCGATGCGATGGCGATGAGTTTGAGCTTTTTCGCTTCGCCTGGGTTATGGCATGGCGATCCGGCTTTGGTTTCGGATTCGCATTTGCTCGCGCTTTCGAGTTCTGCGTTCGCGGCTAGAGAGATCAGTGTGAAAGAGAGGAGGAGAATGGCAACGGCGGGGGGGCAATAAGAATAGAAGCTCGATATTTCTGAACAAGAGAGGCATCTTGCAAAAGAAATCAGTGTTTATATCAGTATTGTCATTAATTTGTGAAGGCTAGCCTTACAATTCTGCTTTCTTGAAGAATTTCACGGGAAACGTTAAGAGGAAGATCATCTGAGTCCACCACACCCTTAACACGGTGAGCTTCAAACCATATTGGGAAGCCATTGTTGAATATGGCGAAGCTCTGAACAAATGGGAGTGGGTCTGGTGAGAAAATGCAGTGTTCTGCTTTTATAGTCAGCGATTCGACTGCCAACGGAAAATCTTTTAACTAGGGTTGGAAAATAAGTTAAAGAATCCATTTTTGCCGTTAATGACTATAATGCCCTTAGAAATGATTAACGAGGGCTGAGTTTTTGTAAGTGGTATTATTGTAAATAGTGTTAAAAAGAGAGGGTGTTATTGGAGTGTGGACAGCGTGTGTTTTTCTGGTATTCACTGGGTTCGTACACGTACTTTTGGACTGCTTAACTTCAGTCAGACACCATCTTTTCGCTTTCATTGGCTGACGTGGATTTTATACTGTTTTTGTTGTCCACGTGTATTTATTTCAAATGTAAATATTTATCTTTTTGAGATGCTGACGTTTTTTTCGTTATATATCCATTTCATTTAAATAAAAACGTTACTTGTCGTTTTCGTTTTATTCTGCGTTATTTTTCGAATCAAGCGTGCAAACATACGAAAATAAGGACATTTATAGATTTTGCTGACAATTCTTGGGACCATCATGGAGAAACCAAACCACATCCAAAAAAAAAAAAAAAAAAAATCAACCAACATGCAAAAATCCCTTTGGTATTGATCCTAAATCCCAAAAAGGGTGACCAAATCTTTGTATTAAAAAAAAAAAACTGGGTTCTGTGACTAACAAGAGAAAAGTATGAATCAAAAAAAAAAAATCAATCTTGCCATGGATCATTCTCTGCTCTAACTTCTGACGGTTCAACAACTTCTGCTTCAGCAGTTTCTTCTTCTTCTCCTCCTTCTTGTTGTTCTTCTTCGGCTCGGCCCCATCGTCCTCCCACGGCCATAGCCATCATCTCGTAGATCTTGTTGCCCAACTCGGCCGGGCTATCAGGCTGACCAGACAGACCATCAATGGCTCGTAAATCCATATAGGAAAAACGAATATATACGCATACACATATACGAGTTTGATATAATATGTGTAGAGTAGTTAGTATCTTACAGTGAATCCACTGGAGATCAAAGCAGTGTCGTATAAGAGGTCCACCGCTCTCTTAGCCTCTCCGCTTTCAGGCGCGTTCTTGCATGCAGCCTGCCAGACAAATAACGTTTCAGTTTCTCCCGGTCTGAAGAACATGACCAGAACCACAAAACCGGACAGTGATACTTCATTTGTAACAACCACTAGATCTCGAGGTCAGACTTGATATTACCCACAAGAGAGAAATGGGTCTTACGTTCAAGTCTTTGATGATAGGATGGTCGGGGTTTATCTCTAGTATTCTCCGACCCCTCATGAACTCCAAGCTTGAAGTGTCTCCTAGTGCCTGTGCCTTCATCAGCCTACCCGATGACCGAAAAAATACGTTAATATATACGAGATTCATGCTACATATTTATATAACTTGATACATTATGGCTAAGTTGTAACTGTGATTAACCTTTCCATGTTAGCAGACCATCCGAATTTGCCAGAGACAAGCACGCAAGGAGAAGAGCTTAGACGTTTCGAGATTTGCACTTTTGCTACTTTTTCACCCAGTTGCTGCTTTATCCAGTCACAAAGAAGATTGAACTCTTGTTTTGTTTCCCTTTCCTTCACCTCATCTTCATCACCTGTCAGAAATCACCCAACTTTATCAGAAAAAAAAAAACAAGAATCAAAGAAGGGTAATACAGAAAACGGATCGGGGACTTATAAGAACACTAACCAAGCTCCAAATCTTCCTTGCTGATGTCCACGAATTTCTTTTCTTTGTAGGTTTGCAGATTCTGGATAGCAACCTCATCAATTGGTTCAACCAAGTAAAGAACCTACAAGTGAAGTGATTTAGCTTTTAGTGAAAATATCAAACATTTAGACAGAAGCGAATTCCTCAAGAACATGGAAAGAATTTTACATACCTCGATGTCTTTTTGGACTAATTTCTCCAAGAAAGGAGCAGACTTTGCACTTTTCAGACTGTCGGTTGCGAGGTAGTAGATGGCCTTTTGGTTCTCGCCCATGTTCTCGACGTATTCATCCAAGCTTGTGAGCTCTTCTTCACTCTTGGAGCTATGGAATCTAAGCAACGGTGTAATACGCTTGTGGTTACCCGTGTCTTCTATGCATCCCAGTTTAAGGAATCTCCCGAAATTCTCCCAGAATTTCTTATAATCCTTGGCAATGGCATTCAACAGAAAAACATATCACAAATGTTATTCAATGCTAAGACTTTGCTAAGAGAGTACAAGCTGTAGATTCAGCCACTAACCTCTTTGTTTTCACTTTCAGAGATTTCTTGTATCATGTCGAAAGTTTTCCTCACGAGTCTCTTCCTCATGATTCTCACCTGAAGATTAAAAGAAGCTACCAAACGGTTAGTATTTCTGAACAAGAAACACAACTTGCAAATGAAATCAGCATTTATATATAAGAAGGCTAGAAGACTTACGATTCTGCTTTCCTGAAGAATTTCACGGGAAACGTTAAGAGGAAGATCATCTGAGTCCACCACACCCTTAACAAAACTCAAGTATCTCGGGAACTGCCATAACATATTATGAATTTGTCAAAAAAAAATATACTCTGAGCAGAAATTATAGAGGTTCAAAATTAAAAACCCGTCTGATTTCAACTAAGATAATCCTTTTCAGTGGCAAGAAAGGAATTTAGCATTCAGAAGTGAAACAGATCTAGTAGGAGATTTCTTAAAACAATTCAATATAAACATTGGACTGACCAGCTCTCCATCAAAGTCATCAGAGATAAACACACGCTTCACATACAAACGTATGTTCTTTGTTTTCGGATTCATCACGTCCTCGTTGTTGAGAGGACCCATTCCAGGGACGTAGAGGATGCTCCTGAACTCGACCTCACCCTTCAAGATTCAAGGAAAACGGACATGGGAAGAGTCAACAACCAATCAAAGACTCAAAAGGACCGAAAAAGCTTAATCAAATAGAAAAGTATAAGCACCTCGGTAGTGAAGTGTGTGTGGGTAAGAGGATCCAAGAACTCGTTGAAAGTCTTCTTATAAAACTCATTGTACTCTTCTTTTTCGACTTCTTTAGCATTTCGCATCTAACCGAAACAGAGAAGAGTGGAATCATCAGCAGCTGTTAGCATGTCAGGCATAATAATGACCGAGAGAATCAAATGTTTGTGCTTACCCATATTGGTTTTGTTTCATTGGCAAGTTCCCAATCCCAATACTTCTCGGTTTTAGTGGTCTTCTTCTTCTTGGTCTCACCCTGGAAACAAGCAACAAAATCAATAAGAAATCAGAATTAAGTCAGTGAAGCCTTTTGCACAAGAAAAACCATGAACTTACCTCTTTTACTTCTTCTCCTTCTTTAGCCGGTTCCTCCTCTTCGACCTGCAACATGTTTCAGATTGTGAAATAGAAAATCTTAGTTTACCTTGCAGGAATATATCAAGAAAGTCATCTAAATTGATGGAGATGATCAGACAACAATGCCAACTAATCAAAAGGTCTGAATGACTACATCAGTATCAGGAACAAAACCAAAGTTGAACAGAGGTAGGTAGTACATATGCCTAAATCAGTTAAGACAGATAACAGAGAAATGCTCTTATTTCAGATCATCACAGAGAAGGCATCAAGTCATTCTCACCTCTATAGTTCTTGATTTCTCCTGCCACGTATAGATGGGAAATCCGACGAACTGAGAATAATTCTTTACTAGATTCTTGATTCTTGTGGGTTCCGAGAATTCATATTTATCATCCTCCTATGGCAAGAACAAACCGAGTCAAGTAAACAAACACGACACAAAAACATGATATAAAATCACACCCTTCCCTATGCTTTCCAATCAACTTCACAACCCGTAAAAGAAATCCTGAATTGCATCAAAGAAGTGTCAGAAATGGGACAGAAACCAATACCCGTAAGAAAAGAGTGATTTGTGTTCCACGAGGCAGAAGCTTTTCAGGTTCTGTTTCCTCCCTAATCACATACGAGCTACTGTCAGCTACCGATTCCCAAATATATTGCTTGTCGGATCTCGGGCTTTTGGTGGACACGACAATCTGACAGTAAAACACAACAAAAAGTCAATCCTCAAGAGACAGACACCAGCCAGAAGGGGGATTATAAAAGAAGATAAAAGTCTTCACCTTCTCAGCAACTAAGAAAGCAGAATAAAACCCAACACCAAACTGGCCAATCAAACCGTTGTCAGCACCAAGATCCTTATTTTCCTGGATAATGGCAGATGTTAGGACAATGGCCAAAACTTGATCTCAAGATCATAGTCAAGACAGAAACAAGATATGAATTACCTTAAGAGCCTTCAAGAATTTGGAAGTACCACTCTGAGCAATTGTTCCGAGGCATTCTATAAGTTCTTCCCTTGTCATTCCAATACCGGTATCGCTGTATATTCACACAAACCTCTAATTAAGCACCTCTACAACTGGTCATTCTTACAGGAAATGAATAAATCAAGAGCCCTCATACCTTATAGTAATTGTTCCGTTCTCGGGATCTGGCTTGATGCGAATCTCAAGCTCCCCTCCATCTCCCAGCAATGAAGGTTCTGTCACACTCAAGAACCTCAGCTTATCCAAAGCATCACTTGCATTGCTGGATAAAACAAATGCAAGCATGTCAGAATACAGAGCACCACACAGATAATCGCCTCGGAAGAAATTGTTCATCGATGGTGACACTCCATATAATTCCACTAAAAGGTAATAAATTCATGTCAGGAAGACAAAGTAGCTCACCTTACAAGCTCCCGAAGAAACACCTCCTTGTGGCTGTACAAGCTATGAACAATCAAATCCAACAAGCGACTAACCTGCAATCATTTCGAAACTTTTCACATTAAGACCAACAAAAGAATCCAAATTAACAAACATTTCAAGTTTCCGACTTCATCGCCATAGCTTTAAAATTACCCAAAAACAATACCAACTCAGAACCCAAAAATCCAAAAGGAAGACCTAACAATTCCAACATGCCGAAAACATCGAGGAAAGTCGCAATTTTGCGGAGAAATGAAACCGACCCACCTCAGCTTGGTACTCGAACTTCTCGCCGGAGCCCTCAGCCGTCTCTTTCTCCGCCACCGCCGCGTCGCATCGCACCGCGAAGCGGTTGCACCTATTCTCGGAATACAGCCTCAACCCATTACACGAAACGCCGTTTCTGAGAACGCTACGCGGCACAAACGCATTTCTGAGGTTAGAGACCCGGCTCCGATTCTTGAGAGAAGAAGCCGAAGCAAGGGGAAGAGAGGTCAAAGGACCTGTGTATAGGCTTCTGCTCAAAGCGGGAGACATTAGAGACGCTACAGAGAGGTGAAGTTCGAGAGAGAGGGGAGTTGAAAAAAGAGACCTAAACCCTATTGGGGTTTAAGCTGAAGTACAAAGAGAGTGGAGGATTCTAGAACACACGAGGAAAAGAGCTCTCTTTGAGTTTTGGTTTTGGGTTGGAAAACGTGAGGTCCATGAATTGCCATCTCAGCAGCTTCGAATTATCCCTTTGATTCAAAATTATTTTAAATTTATATTTTCTCATGAGAAATTTGAAATTCTATTCGCATCAAATTCCACGTAATTCTCTATAATAACATGCACACGAAGATACGCTCTGGATTCGGTTTAAGTATTCTTATTTCATTGCAATACATGTTTTGCAGCAAATTCCCTGGCTGCAATCATATTTATGCATACACGATTTTTACAATATATATCCGAAAGTTAAGAAATCTTTATAGTCTAATGACGAGAAAAAACCAGAGAGTTTTATCTGTGGAAACTATTACAGAAAACACGAGAGACCAAACATGATCTGATTTGGTAAGAGAACCAAAAAAAAAAATTACAATCGAATATTAAGGTAAGGGGGTCTCAAAGGGTATTCACAACAGTTTACAAAGATGAAAGCTTTTCTTTCCACAGAGAGTGGTCTTCGTCTTCTGTCGCCAACATACGAAGACTCCATGGCTCTAAAGCTTCTTTACCTCCTTAACTTTACTATTATCTGTCCTCTCCCTTGCCTTTGACCTTTCTTGTCTCAAGTTCCGTCAAAACCGGCACGATGTTCCAAGTCCCTGCCTCTTCCTCAAAGTCTCGGTCTTGCGTTTGGCGAAAGCTGGGTGAAGTAACTCGTGGAACCTCTCCAAGAACAGCGTCCACTCGTCTTCTGTCATGTCCGCTACCTTCACGAAGCTTTCACTTGTCCGAATCAGCTCGTCAGTGCTCCTGTTCGATGTGTTCTCACCTCTGGTTCCAACGAATTTCGGGTATTTTTGTTGGCCCATGTTGCTTAGATGAGTGTTCTTCATTGTCACCGAAAGCTTTGAAAGAGACGGGGCATCGAAGTTGTTCTCGGTATCATTCTCTTCTTCTTCTTCTTCTTCCTCCTCGAGCTTTGCCAGGGAAGAACGTCCATTTGAGAAGGGGTTTCTGGTGAAGTAGTCATCGGCCGCCGTCTTGGAACCAGAAGCTAACTCTAGATCATCATCATAGTCTAGACAGAATTGAAACTCTCCATCTCTTAAATCAGACCATGGAGATATAGCATCATGTTCAGTGATCAATCTCCTCCTGGCTTCCATGGACACAACCTCGAGCTCACTTGGCTCCTCTTCCCCAGTGCGAAACTCCCGGGTCATCATCTCACCGATCTCAGCCAGACAAAGTCCATAAGCAGCAGCTTCTTTAAGGAAAACAGTACACAGGACTAGAACACGGAGACAAGCCTCTCGGATCATTGGAAGTTCTGTCCGGAGCATGTCACAGTCCTTGAGTGGATCGAGGCTTTGTATGTAGTCAAGTTCATCATCAGAGAAAGGTATTGATGCCTGAGGCCAATGAATCCACTCGAAATAGGGATCCTCGAGTGATTCCGGTAGGCAAAGGCCGTGATCAATGGGAATGAGCTCCACTTGACCGAACCTCCCGATACCATCAAGCTTCCTCACCAAAAGGTTTCCACCATGCCGGTCTGTGTTAAAAATCCTTACGTCTAATATCCCAATACGGTGCACTGCTGCTACAGGGAAGCTCGAAGTGCCATGATCGCTGGCATCAAAGTCATGAGGTATGAACTTTTGGAAGGAAGCAATCTTGCTGACCAGTTTCTTCTCGCAAGGTTTGTTCCCATTCCCGTTCACTCCATTGTTGACATTAAATACCGAATGGGTTATCTTCACGAGAGCAGTGGGAGGAACATTAGCAAAGTGATCATAGTCCAGAAGATAAGCTGCAACTTCCCTGAATCCGGTTTCCCCAACTCGTACAGAACGTTTTAAGCCGGGTTGCCCCAGTGATTTCCCAACAAAGCCTTTCGGATTGTTAGGTGCAAATGGTTCTTCATCTGTAGGCTTGACAATTGCAACACTCTGACCTTTTCCATTCCTAAAGTAGTATGCCCCTCCAAGCCCACTATGAACAGAGACCGGTTCAACACCCATCTTCATCGCCTTAACAATTTCCTTCACAATCTGCTTCACAGAAGAAAAGCAATATGAATGGCCCAGGATCTCAATAGGACCACTGCGGTCTTTTTGTTGGAGATCCCTCCCGGTAGGCGAAAGGCATGGAGTAGATGAGCTTCTTTGCATCAGGTTTCGTTTTAGAAGAAGGGGAGAATCATTCCTCACAGCACTCAGGTCATTCTTCAGAACCGTATCCCCAAATGTCAATGAGCTTTCCTCGGTGGGGAAATTAAGAGCAATTTGCAGTCTTCTCTTCACGGTATGAACATTATCATTACGGTCCAACTCCATCCCCAAGACGCAACCGGTATCAGTTTGCACAAAAACCCGTCTTCTTCGCCCCACAGGCTGTTTCTGCTGCTTCCCTTCCATCTTACTAGCCCCATGGAACTCCCCGGTAAGGGGAGTCTTAAAGACTGCCACTGCCATCTGTGTCTGAAACCGGACTGTCTAAGTTCCGAGATACGAAAAGGGTTGAGAAACCACGGGACTTTTGTGGTCAGCAGCAGAAGCAGCAGGGGAAGAGAGACTCTTCTCTTCCAGACCAGTGCCTATGTCTGAAACCAACACGAACCCGGCAGAGAAGAAATAGACACCGGAAGAAATCATGAAACGAGGAAAACCCAACAAAAGATGAAACGAAGACAACCCGATCAGCAGAAAACAGGAGCTACTGATAAAAAAAATCGAGATTGAGAAAGAATTTCAACCCGGTTCTACATCAGGTAACCCAAGCTTGATCCCCAGAGCAAGAGAAGAGAAGTCTGCAAAACGATCACATATAAAATCAGCAATCTATCCGGATATGAATGTCTTATGTATAGCCCCAGAGAAGGGCCATGTTCGTATCTAAGCTTACACAGCTTCCGCAAATACGCGAAATTTCTTCCTTGCGAACACCTCCAACGCATTAATCCACCACTTATAGCTTGATCCAAGAAACTTTACATGGTCACTTGAGCAATAGTTATAGCGATAAATTCCAAAACAAAAAAGTTTGCTTTTGTTATTCTAGATAAACGGAAAAATTCAAATTTAGAAAAAAACCCAGATTCTCAAGAAATATGGAAGCAAATGAACAAAACTACGGCTGAAAAAAAACACACAAAAACCAAGAACTAAAACCAGATAAGTTAAACAACAAAATCAACCTCGCAAGACCAAATCAAACACATCGTGATTTGCTCCGCAAGCGGAAAATATGGACAACGAAAACTCACCGGAAAACGAGATCTGAGGACGGAGAGGACACTGTAAAAACCTTGGATTGCTAATTCAGAAACATCGTCGGCAGGCGAGAGAGAGAGAGAAGACACGGAAGCGGCAAATCCCCATTGATGATGAAGGGAAGGAATCGCCTTAGCCGACTCAGCGAGTCACTGATCCCGAGCCGCCTCTGTGTCTCGATCTCTTCGCTCGCTAACCTCTTGGCTCTTCTTGCGGACGCTCTTTTATCTCACGGCAAGTCAGAGTCTGGTTAAATCACTAACCATGGTTTGACAGTATTCACTACATATAGTACTCAATAAGATCAGATAAAATCGTACAAGTGACACGTCAGCAAGTTATTTGATTTAGCACTCCTTTTTTTTTTATAAATGTTTTGGAATAACTTTGTCACTGTAACGACCATTAGACAGAAACACTAATGTATTGTTTTTGTTAAAATTTTAAGACAGCTTACTTTAATATTTACTTGTGTCGGGAAATTAGATTAAAAAAATTGAATTTTAACAAGATATATCGTTTTCCCCCGTCATAGAAGAGTCTAGAAACAGCCTAAGAGAGCCGTACCATGAGAGATTCTTGGAGAAATATGGGCCGTCCGATGGGATGGATTATGATACGTGACATTACATAAAAGTGTAATAATATGTTGTATAAATATGAAAACATCTTCGGACAAGGCATTATAGTACTGATTTTGCTTTCAAGACAAGGAATTAAATTAATTGAACTTATTTGTAATATATATATATATATATATGATCAAACCATGTGTGTCTGTCTTTTTCATATATATATATATATATTATGTGTGCGTGTGAAAGAGAGGACAGAAAAAAGAGAGAGTGGATGTATCTTATTATTACATATGATAATATCTTTTATAACTATCACGACCAATTCAAAGTACATGTTGACTACCTTTTATTTTCATTATTAAAGAAAAACAGTTTAATAAGGTTAATCACGAATCTAAACCCAATAATTAATCGAATATAAAAAATATATAATCGATGTTCATTTCGATTATTAATAAAATAAAATCAGGTAACGGACTGGGTTGACTGCAAAACGAGCCCTGATATAATAGCCCATTACACACCGTACCCATACACAAAAATATTTACTCCAATATAATAATTAATATAAAAAAAAAAAACATTTTTTTCCTCGTATCTGTAATTATTAAGAACTCTTCCCCTGCAACTGATATAAGTTCTTTAAAAAAAAAAAGAAGAAGAAGAAGAAATTGATCAGAATCGACAGCAAAGAAGTGAATGTTTCCAACTCTTCTGGCTCCGGAGATGTCTTCTGTCGGCTTTCGCCATTCTTACAGGGCTGCTGTTCCATTCCGTTTGCAATCTGCAGTTTTTTTTACACAGGTTTGTATCAAAGCATACAGAATGACGACGTGTATATGTATATGTGTGTGTAAGTATACGTACACGGGGAAGGCGAAAGAGCGTGTACTGGTTGTGCTTCCATCAGAACGAACGGAGAGGCTACCGGAAAACGAGATCGGACCGGAGTAGGTTATATGCCCTGAAACTGGCTCTGCCGCCGAGAAACTCGTCTCTCCAATACCGCTGCCGCTCGGGAATGGATGATCCGTAGGGTCCTCTAGCGTGAACTTGTGTCGAGAAACGTAGCTCTCAGATTCAGACCTTTGAGGCTCGCCGGTTCTCGTGGTTTTCGTCGCTTCTCGGGAGGTAGAACCCAAGGAATGAACCGTCACTTCCGCGTTCTCGATGCAGCTGCTGGTTTCTTCTTCGCCGTTTTTCGCTTTCTCGGTCTCGTAAGCCTCTGCGTCCGCCATTACAGTTGACAATGCTTCGACGGTTTTCGAGTCATCCATTTCATCAACCTCTGGTGCAAGAGTTGCAGTTTCCGAGCTTCTCTTCCCCCTTGACTCCTACAATCACACCCATCGTAAACTTGTTTTTCTTTTTTCGTTACAGTTGCGCAAAAAAAAACGAATTTTGGTACCCGAACACTAAATGAGACGAGATCGGGTAATATCTTGTGAGACTCCAGACAATCGGTTTCGGGTTCAGATTCGGATAGCTCAAAAACCTCGAATACCCGTCCCATACCCCCCTTATTTTTCATATTCAACCTCATTTTATCACTAGATGCAGCAGCAGTATCTTTCAAGGAAGATTTAGCAAGAACTTATCTTCTTTTCTTGAAACTCGTCGAGGTCATACGTAGTAGAAGGCATCTGAAAACGAGGGATCAAGATTGTGAAAGTAGGCAATACCTGAGAAGATTGTTCTTCGGGTCCATTGGAATTGCGGTTGAAAGGCTTCTTCTCGCCATCCTCCATTGACATAACATCTGCCAGAGTTAAAGATTCCTTACCGGAGATTCCTCCTGTCTTAACTTCTTCCATCTCCGACAAATCCTCCGACTCGCCCCGACCACCTATATGTCTGTCAGAGTTGCTTTCCGGAGAGATTCCGGGCGCATCTAATGCGGGCATATCCTTTACTATAGTGTAGTTAGCATCATCCTTAACTTCCCCTTCCGACTTCTTGTCTGCTGTCAAGATCTCGGAACCAGAAATAGAAGCATTACAAAAGTCGGAATCTTCTTCGGCTTTGACGGGACCAATGTCTAGAGATTCAGATTCCAAGTTTCCCGTCATCGGGCCAGTAAGAACATCCACATTTACTTCTGCTTCCATCGAATCCTCTGATCCAAACTGATCAGAATCAATCTTCTTGGACAAGAACTTCTGCAGAGGCACACCCTCATCGACACAGATATCCTTCACGACATGACAAGTCTTCTCCTCGTAACAAGCGACTATCTCAGGCAAGTCGCAGTCCATAACGTTTTTGTCCATATAGAAGACCGACCTTTCCTTCCCGAGAGAATCCCCTTTTCCCGGATCACCAGCTTCCTTTATCTTGTCACTTAAGCACTCGGAAGAACGATGTCCCGACAAGTTTCCATCCTTTTCTCCATCCAATTTATTGCCTTTCGTGTCAGAGAACAACTCACAAGCATGTGCGTTACCTTTCCCGTTTTTCAGGATCTTCAGTTCCTTGCCCTCCCAATTGTTTTCAGAGAGTTGATGAGGCTTGGTATCGCCTTCGAGACACTCAACCGAGTTACCAAAAACAAGCTCGCTATCTGCAGATTACAAAAATCACATTACCGATGTTTTCAAGAGCG